TGCCAAATCAACTCAGTATGAGTCGATACATAATGGTAAGTGTCGACTCATACACTGCATGTGTCGACTCATACATGCTTTGTGTTGACTTATACACTGTTTTTCCTTTTGTTTTAGGTCTAAAGCAGTATGCATCGACTCATAAGGCTATGTGTCGACTCATGCTGTCATTTTTTTACTTCAACATTGTTTTGCTGCATACATGGGTTAGTTCTCAACACATAATGAAAATAATGGAAGATAAATAAAAGGTTAGCTTCAAGGATAATGGTTACTACACTTTATCTTCAAAAAATGAATTACTAATGATGCTTGCAATGAAGAACCAAAGTCAAGAAGCTTACCTTGGAGCTGGATCTTATACTCTGAGCTTGAGTTGTTATCTTAACGGTTCTTGAACATGGAAAAGGAAACAGAGGTGTTGTAGAAGCTTGTTCTTGAGTTTGAACAATTTCTAGGTGATGTATGGGAGATGCTTATATGTTTGAACAGAGTTTGCAAGGTGTGAGTTCCAAATATTTGGACTTTAAAACTCAAGAGTGGAAGCTTTTTTGCACAGTTATGGCTTTTATGAATATGAGATTTTGAGGGCTAGTTTACAACATAAATCTTCTGGATTTTTTCTCTCTTTTATCTAAACTCTCCAAACCTCTTTCTCTTGCAAATGCTTCTTCTATTTATAGGCAAGGGGTTTGTGCATATTAGCTGATTAGGTTTGGAAGACAGCATGTTATGGTTTGGTTGGATTACAAAGATCAAACTAAGTCAAGTACTCCATAGTCCCAAGATGAAGTACCAAAGTTGCTGGTATTGAGGAGCTACTTCCCATGATTTGTGCTGGAGTATAATCAGCAACCAGCAAGGTATGGGCTCAAGACAAACTTTGTACAAAAAGCTTGCTTTTCAAGAATAGCAATGGTGCCTTTATGCCATAAATGGAAAGATATTTTGGACAAAGGCTCAAACACTTGGGTAATAGCTCAAGCTCTTGTGTAAACATTAAATTATGTAGATATTTACAAGCAAAGAAGCCTGAAACATAAGATTATGAAGCAAATAATTAGAGTTTTGTTATGTGTTCTTCAATAGAATAACTTGCAATTCAAGGATGGATGCCCAACTTCAGGCCCTTGAATATCCTAGCTCAAATATCATAAATTCATGCTCTTAAATGTTTTGTAAATCTTGAAACATCCTCTATAACTTTCATGTTAGCCATTTTGACAAAATCATCTTGCAACTATGTGAAAAAATGCCAAGGAGTTGGGACAAAATCCTGAATAAAATCTATTGAAATTTTCTCTAAGTGTTAAATGAAAATGTCATGACTTCATGAATTTATAACTTGAGTTCCAAGCATATTTAGGAGAAGTTGTGTAAAGAAATGTTGTAGATATCATGGAGATCTAAAAATTTCATGTTGAAAGCTTCTTTTGAATCATCTTACATCTTGGTTAAAGAATGGCATGAAGTGATGAAATTATCATGTATGAAAACACAGAAAATTTCTAAGTCTTGGAAATCTTGACTTTTCAAGTTGACTTTTGACTTTCTTGAATTCTTGATGATTAAGCTTGATATTCTTGAATGCCTTGATGAAATTTGATCTTTGGAATGCAATGTTGACCAAAAAGTCAAAGTTTGACTTTTCAGGGTATAATTGACTTTTTTTCATTAGTACTGCTGTTTTTAGGTCACCTGATCAATTGATTGAACAATTTGGTGATCTAAGGCTGGGAACTTGACATGAGCAGTCTTAAAGATCCATAATGATCCATGAAAGTAATTTGAGGCATTAAAAGTCCAATTGTCCTTGTGCAAACACAAACCCTAATTTGATGTATCAGTGTTGCAAACTTGAACCATTGAATATCTTGTGAGAAATGTTTTGAAAAAATGAGAGGGAAAATTTTGGGGTACAACAACGTGCATCTGCTTCACAGCATTTTCAAAACTCCCTCAGAGGCAGCCTGGGCGTCGCCCACCTCTAGTTGAAAACGAGCAACAACCTCGGCCCGTGTCTTTAAATATTTCGTGTCCTCCAGCTCATCTTCAGCAGGCGTCACCTTGGCGGTCAGAACAACTACCTTATCCTCGAGATCTTTTTTTTCGAGCAGTAGGACCCTACGCTCCTCAGAGAGTCTCCCTGATTCTTCCTCGGACAGCTTCCAGACCTTTTCCTCCTCAATCTGGGCCTTCTCACTTGCATCCAGCTTAGCCTGAAGATTCTTCAACTCGGCCTCCTTGGAATAACTCCCCTTAGTATAGGCTACGGCCATCTCTAGAATCCGCATTAAACCACCAGTATCCTACGCCAGCATCACCTTCTTCTCTGGGCGGCCCAAACCCTCGAGAAGAAGGGATTCTGCCCAAGGGAAGTGAAGAGTTGCACCCTCGAAGAAAGCCTTCTCCAGCTAGTAAGGGGTCAGGTCGTACGTCCCTTTTCCCTTTTCCCCGGTCAGGTTGATGCTTCCCTCGGCACGCGGCCTCTTTGCTTTCGAGGATACGATGGAAGGAGAAAGAGCGACTGTAGCTTGGTCCGAAGAAGAGCTGCTCGACTCCGAAGTAGGAGTGACCCCCGAGCCAGTCTGAGCATCCTTCTGAGCCTTCCTCACTCTATCAGCAAGAGTCATGGCTATGCGCTCCTGGGCGGGATTCATGCTATCTGTAAAACAAACAAAAAGAAACGTAATCAGCAAATAAGGATTTGGAAAAAGCGACGAGCACATACTACTGTTTAAAACATAAGTACCCAAATACTTGACGGGATCCACTCTCCCGAGGATCTCCTTGACGATTATAAGGCTCGGCTCATATACGGGCTCCCCTTTCTTGTCGATCACCGACTTGCCTTCCCGGTGAAACAACCGGCTGAAAATCATCAAACAATGAAGTCGCCATCAAACGTCTTTTATCGCACATGAAGGGAAAGGTAAACATCGAGAAAACATGAGAAGGGAGAAGTCACGGTCTTGTGACCGAGAGATTGGGTAAGGAAGTCTGTTACGTGAGGGGAAGGTATTAGCACCCCACACGCCCGTAGTACTCTATGGTATCCACTCTTGTTATCTATCTTATAGGTGTGTTTAATCTATGCTTAATATTTACTACTGAGGAAGAATGCATGCAAAAAGAAAGGGGAAAAGAATGTAGGGAAAATAAATTTGTACTCGCTTGGGCCCTACCCCAATGCCTACGTGTCCTTTTTGAGGAATCAGAGCTACCATAGTTCGGCTCACATGTTTTTGTTTGTTTTGTATTTTTTTATGGACAATGTTAATTCTGCCTTCTGCCACAGCTCGATCTTTGGAGACTCACGCGTTGGCACAAAAGTAAATTAATCATGTCCTTGCTGAGAATGGTTTCGAGTTACGCCCTCGAGGCAAGATGCCACATTTGATTGGTTTGTGTCTTATTATCTTGAAAAGAGTTTAGGTATGATTAGCATGTTTTTGATTTTCTAAGAAAGGAAGTTTTAGTTTTAGATGCATATGCAAAAGGGGAAGAAAATGGTCTAAGGGAGACTAGCATATTTCTAACCTAATGTTATCATACAATGGTAGTCCTAAGGTTTGGATTAACAAAAGGGAAATGTCTACCTAATTTTAGCATGCATGGCTTGCAACCTAAGGTCTAACTTGCGTCTGAAGGGAACAAGCACATCCTAAGGGAACATGTATGTACATGGATAAAGCAAACAAGCTCGAAAGAGCACACACATAAAAGAATAAGGAAAAGAATCAAAATTCTTTAGCCAAGGGGAGCGTATCACCCGAGAACAACAAGGGGGAGTGGGATTAAAAAAACAAAAATATGATGTCCAAAGACACTGAACACCTAACCAAGATATAGGAGATCGAGGGAGGTGACAGAAGATGATGTGAACAATCATGGAGTATCAGCATCGGTCACTGCAAACTCCTGACAAAATATGGGGGTTCGATTGTGGAACCCTTCCCCACTTGACGACTAAATATACAAGAGTAGGCATAACTCTGAAGCGTCATGGTGCGTCACGAGTTAAGGATGACACGACGAAATTGCGAGGGTTGATTGTTAACCTCCCTGCTCGCCTCCTTTTGAGGACTTAAATAAGGGATGGAGGAATAATGCGGGCACAAATGTAAACACACCTGCAAAATACCTACACAAAGGTAGGGTTTTAAACAACCACAAATAGCAAAAAGAATGCACACAATGCGGAATTGCCCTAAACGGGTCTTTAAATAAACCAATGGGGTTCCTGACATGATCAGCAACGGAGACCCCCGTCATACATCTCTATTCCTACTTCTCATGGCATCAGAAAGCAGTAAAGCCCTACTTCTCATGATATCTAGAAATAATAAATAAATGCAATAAATGAGGAATAAAACAAGGTCACGATGATACCGAACGGAGAAGGTTCGTTGCCTCTTCAAAACCATGCAAGCGATAAGAAAACTCTACCAAAGCTGCTTCACACAAGTGATCGAAAAATTAATCTCCAAGCATTCCCCATCGCGAAAGTTACATCAATATTCTATCACAAAATCTTAGCTAAAAATGACAATGAAAATGATTATTAAACATAAAATAATAGAAAACACTAATAAAATTCTAAAGAAAAAACCTAAAAATTCGAAAATATTCTACTATTTTTTTATTGTTTTTATCATAACAACAATATAAAAAAACTAAAAAAGTTCCTAAATCTTAATATGAAGATATGAGCTCAGGGGGGTGAAAACTGAAGTCAGAAGGTTCTGTAGAAGCAATCAGAGTATTAGCGTCGAGCCCAATATAAAAGAAAGTCCACTAAGAAGCCCTTTTTTGCATAAACTTCTTCCTTCTCCAAAAAAGATGCAATGGGCTTGCAAAATGTTATACAGCCCAGATCCATCACCAATTATTCTTAATTCAGTATTATTTTATTTTATTTTCTAAAGAAAATACAAATAACAGAATTAATTGAAATTAAAAAAAAATGAAGAAAGAGGAATGAAACGGTGTTGGCTCTGTTAGGGTTCTAGAAGGTGGCTATTGAGCTTCATTATGAAGGTGGATTCACTTCTTCTTCCAAACAAATCGCGGCGCCGGTGACTACCACTGTCTCCGATCGACACGGCCAAGCTCCTCACCGTATTTGTTTTGCCATATTCTTTCCGCTTCCTTGAATCAAAAAACCATCTTCGTCGTCCATTCGGTTTCATCAAATCTTTGTTCCACTGTTTCACCTCTTTTCTCCGCTAATGCTCTTTGTATCAACGCCGAATCAAATGAGGAAACAACAACACATACCATGAATTCACAGAGTTCTTCACATTATGACCATAAGAATGAAAATATTAAGAGCTTCGAAGGTTATTGATCGGAGACGTTCCGACGATGCTTCAAAGCTTCTAAACGGAATAAGAAAGTCGCAGATACTCAGGTACTTCTTTATGCTTGTTTCCCTTTGCTCTCTTCTTTGATTTTGTTTATGCGTTTCTGTTATTGATTTTGATTTATGATGTTGATGAAGATGCGTAATACTGCTTTGAATCATTGCTCGAAGATGCTTGATAGGAAGAAGATGAAGACGGTTGATGCGATGAAGATGAAGAGGATGCAATTGTTGTTGATCGTTTCTGAATTGATGCTTACAGATCGATCATCGTTGCAGGTGTAGATTTAACTATGCAGAATCAAGAGTTGAGTTGGTGACGATGAAGTGTAGTAGCGGAATGAGAGAGTGTGGAGAAATTCATGCGGTTTTCAGGGAGAGAAATGAAGACTTTTTCTGCAGATTTCTATGAATAACCCTATGAAGATGAAGAGAGAATGCTCAGAATTTACAGGTTAATGATGGTGCTTTCCCTGATTTCAGATAAGGATTGAGAGGCTTTCAAAGATGAATTTAGGGGTGAGTCTTTGATATTTTTCTCTGAATTTCTGTTGTGAATCGTATAGAATAGATATATATTGTTTTTTTGGAGTTTTCTCTCTGTAGATGTATTGTGAGTTCCTCTCTCCCAAAATCGTGAATGATTCCTCTGCTATATAGTAAAATTAGCTTGCCAAAGTTGGTTCAAGATATTAGGAAGTTAGTAATTATGTTATGCAGGGTAGTTAGGTTGTTAGTGATTCTGTTATGCAGTTACAGGAAGTTTGAGTTAATTCTGGCTTGAGTTTTGGAGTTTAAAAAAATGGTTGGAGAACTGTTTGAGTTAGTTTCTTATGGATTGTTACAGGAAGTTTTTTTAGTTAGGATTTTGTTAATTCAGTTAGGGAGTGAAATTCGGTCAAACTGTTAATTAGAAGGTTGCGGGCAGTTTAGAATCTATTTCTGTTCTGTTATTTTGAACATGGCGGTTTTTCTGGAGGCATGGTTGGTTTCTTGCAGGCTGTGGATATCAGGAATTGGAACAAGGCAGCATTTCCTTGAAGCGCAACAAGTTTTAGCGTGAAAGATGGTCTAAAAAGGGCCTTAGAGAAAAAAATATGAGCATTATACTTTAGGCTTAGAAACAAGATTTGATGTATGTGAAATAGTTCACACTTGTAATGGTCTTTCGATGTAACACGACTTGAACTTTTTGTAACGTTTATTTGTAATTTTGAAATGGTGTATGATATTTTGAACTTGGAGACTTGGTAATGTATTGGTAGGTACTAAACATATATTGTGATATTTTGGTGTAATGGGTTTTGTAATTGGATTTGAAAGTGATGTTGAATATGACTTGAAATGGCATTTGTAATGGAAACTTTGATTTGGGAGTTATTTGAACATGTAAGGATTTTGGTCAAAGTTGTAATGTATCCTTGAATTTTTAATAAACAAAACTTGAATCAAGTTTGAGTTGTTTTCCCTCCATTGTTGTTTCATTTAAAATTTCAAGTCTTCTCCCATTTGTAATTTATGCCACGCCATGCTATACTTAGATAAACCACGAGATAAAAACCAAAAGCGACTAGAAATACTTTGGTCAAAGGTCCACCTTCCATGGTTGACTGTAACTAAGAGTCAAGGCTAGCGCAAATGATTTCCTTCTTAGAAAATATTCCCAAAATACTCCATGTAAGACCTCAAATCCTTGCATAAGATCCAAAGTAAATGTCTTGAACCAATATTTGAATTGAAAATAAGAAAGTACAAGTGCAACCCTAATTCATCTTATGACACAAGCCTCATGAAATGACTTTCAATCCATAATCCACAAGAATTTTATGTCCAAGTGCAACATCTTTAAAAGAAGGCTATCAGAATGAGTTGCACCACAAGTAATAGAGGAACCACACCTCCTATGATGAATAAAGCCCATGTATTGAGAGAAAGAATCCCATGATGATTGTATAGCCAAGCCATATCCATATTCAAAGAGAAAACCAGTTAGACCAAATTTGTTGAATGTTGATCAGAAGCCTCAAACCATGTAGAAACCCTAACTCTTCAAGAGCCTTGATCCCATGACAAGTTATGATGAATGTTGCATGATGTGTTAGATGACCTAATGAAGGTTATGTACATGCAAAAAGTGCGAGATGCATAAGCCAGATAAAAGTAAAAGGGTAGGACAAATTTGGGGTATTACAACTGCCCCTATTTAATCTTCTTAAACCTGAAAGTACGATTGGCGCGTTCCTTTCAGAAGTTCGAGGTAGAAGATGATTAAATATCAATGCCAAAAATTTGTTCTGAGAGAAAGTGTGAATATTTATTTTTTGTGATATCTGCTGGGGGCAAATTTTCTATTTTTCCTGGTGAGGAGGGTCTACGTGTAAACCTGGAAGGCGATTGCTCGTAACATGGCAACAGTGTCGAAGCGGGGTTTAAAAACCGATACGAAGATGTTGTACCCCAAAATTAGCCCTCTCATTTTACTCAAAACATATTCCTAGAGGTCCTCAATTTGCTCAAGGTTGCCCAAGAGTTGACCAGACGAACTCTCTCCTAAGGCAATGTATCTTAAACTAGGGTTTCCATTTTCATCAAGATGGGTGGACTCCAAATACTTCATATGCTCTCCATGGTACTAATATGTTCTCAAGACCCTCCATGTCAAATTTCAAGCCTTGCACAAGAAGTTTGCTCAGTCAACTGCTCAGATGCTTGAGAATCAACTATATTAGGTCAAAAGTCAGTTGTGGCCCACATACAGTTAAACTTCAAGATTATTGGTCAACATCAACATTTTGAAGTTATATCCATCATTTGATCAAGGGTTGATCATGATTCCTCAAGGAATGCCCCAAATTCCTCAAAACCCAAAAGTTGCTAAATTAGAGTTTCTTAGGAAAAGTCAACCAAACTTTGACCAACCATAACTTCCTCATACTTTATCAGAAATTTCCATCCAAGGCTCATTTTGAAGAGGGTGAAATTCCCTACAATTAATCCTCAGCCCTCAAGTTCAAAATATGCACTCACAAAAAGATAGGGATTTCCACATTATAGGTCCTTTTGATAAGTTAAGAAAAACACTTTTTGGGTCAAAGCTTCTTACATGAACATGGAAGACCCAATTGAGATGAGACTAAAAGGGTTGTTCAGGGGACATCCTAAGCTTTCTAAAAAGTCCAAGAACACCTCTCTAGGGTTAAAATTGGAAGAGATATGCCTTATCAAAGTTGACCATTTTTGCAAAATTGCCAAAAGTCAAATATGCTCAAGATTGCATTTTTTGCCAAATGGGCCTAACCTTTTATGCTTGCACCTCACTTATAACATGGTCCACGACCCAAATATTCACTCACATGTTATTTGCTTCATTATTTATTTTATTTTGATTTTTTATTAATTAAAAATTGAATTAAATCAAATAAATGGTAAATAATAGCAAAGATTTGTTTTGATTGGATTTTTGAACAGAATCACAAGCTCATTATGTGGCATATTAGAATCAAATCGAATCAAGGTTAATTGGCACAAGAATGACATGATTAGGCCAAATTTGGAAGGATATCATACAACATGAAAACCAAATCAAATCTTCAAAAAATTGCAAAGATGCTAGCTGTTTTTATAACCCTGATTCACTTAGGGATATATAATGAACAAAGCCAGGCACAAAAACAAGAGGTTGCAGTCGTGAAGAACACTAGAACAAACTCAAAATTTTGGCAAAAAAGTGGTGATCTGATCTCTACCCTAGAGGACAATTTAAGGCCTTCCAACATTCCTAAACGATTCCTGGACCTTCCTAGAAGCTAACCCAATCGATTGTAGGTCCTTTCACGCCCAAAAACGCTCGCTACATCTCATACGGTTTGCTTTTTTTTTCAAATCGGTTACAACCATTATTGTATCATTAGCATGATTCAATGACATATTTGTGATCATTGATGTATTTCTAACATGTCTGGATTGTTTAATTAGATTTTTTTAGGCTTATACGAGTGACTGCCATTACTAGGGTTTCAAGCTCCGTTTTAGGGTCTTTTAGTACAGGTTAAATTGGGCCAAGAAAAAAGAACCATGATACTCGTGAGATCAAAATGAATTGATCTATATATTCACCAATAATTTATCATGCTTGATTGTGATTTTTGAAAGATGCAGGGCTACAACCATGGCTGACTGTTCGTAGGTATAAGTCTCATACCTAAAGCGACGGACAAGCGAAGAAGAAGATACCGTGGCAGCCAACCACTGGACCATTCAATTCAGCACGCGTTTTTTGTTTGTTTTTAGTTTTATCCAGTTTGTGTGACATATTATTGATTGTTGTTATTATGTTAACAATTAAAATATGTAGCCCGGTTGGTGGAGAGCGCGTTGTATGAGTAGGAGGATCTAGGTTCGATCCCAGGTCCCAGCATTTTCCCTATTTTCTTAATGTTTAACTGCAGATTATGTGCTCCACGCATCCAGGCGCCTACCATACATCCATTAATCCAGCCATTCGATTCATCATCAAATCCAATCTAACATCGCAGGCAGCAAAGTTCATGGGTACACCCTCCAGGGGGGCTACACAAGATCCACGCAAGGCTGAGCTTAGTCACTAATGGGCCTGAATAATTCAGATATACAACCCCCTCTGATTGCTTAAACAGGCCCATTCTTCTCTTTTTATTTATTTATTATTTTTATTTCTTCTTAATTATTCCCTAATTATATTTCTTTTAAAATAACATCAAAATTATTTTTATTTAATCAAAATCACAAAAAACACCAAAAAATCATTTTTTCATAAAAATATTTATTTTCTTTAATTAATTAATTTAA